CATTGTACAAGGAAAGGAGTCAGTCGGAGCTGCTGCTGCCAAGACTGCTCCCCAAGGGCAGGCAGGCAAGTTACTTTTAAAGGGGTTTACAAGTAGGGAATTCATACAAGTTGCATCTGCAACATTCTTAAGCATACCATGCAAGTGCAATGGGGTTTACACATAACCTCCAAGCAAAAGCAGGGTTCAAATGAATAGCTGGGGGGGGCGGGGAGCCAGCAGATGAAACAGGATTTTTCAATAGAACACTGTGGGGGAGGAAGCCAGGCAAAGAAAACATGATTTTTAATACAGCACTGTGGGGGCTCTGTCTCAGAATCATGAAATAATATATACTCAGACATTTTTACTTATTTTAATCTAAAACAAACAAATATATACCCATCCACTTTTGATGTAGGGCTAAGGCTTTTTCCTTGAGTATGAGTCTGTTGATTGTTTTTTTCTGCATAAAGTGAACCCAAGATGTATCTCCTCTAATTTCCAGTTTTGTTTCTTTAGAGTATGAACTAAAACACTGAGAAAGGATCTGAGTGCTGACCTAAATTTTTATTACTTTTTTAGTTTCTGTTATTTCACACACATTTATAAAAAACAAAAAAACCAAGCCTGCTGTCATCAAGTCGATTCTGACTCATGGCAACCCTATAGGACAGAGTAGAACTGTCTTATAGGGTTTCCAAGGAGCGGCTGGGAGATTTGAACTGCCAACCTTTTGGTTAGCAGCCTGAGCTCTTAACCACTGCACCACCAGGCTCCACCCACATTAGTCAATAGCAATTATTTTTAGCAACTTGCTTCTATTGAGTCATTTCAAACCATTCAGCTTAGTTTTCATAGAAACAACACTTTTTGCATTCATATTTTATTAATTTACACAATATTTAATTACTTTATATAATTAGAATAACAAGTAAAAAGAAGTGATGTTATACAGTCCACTGGTGGGAGCTGAGCATAGGCATGGCTGAGAGCATTCAGTATGCTGTGGGCATCAGTGAACATACTTTTCAGAAGGGAGTCCGTTAAGTGTAGGTTAGATAAGGGACCTTCAGCTGGGTTATTAACCCCATTTCCAGATGAGGCAACCGAGGCTTAGAAAGTTGAGACTTGCCATTTCTTATTGACTCAAATATGAAGAGCTCAGACAGAGACACAGAGAGGGGAAACCTAACCTAGCTATTAAAGGTTAGAGCAGATTTTCAGGGGGGTGACACTTGAACTGGGTCAAGAACGTAATAGGAGAAAATCACACTTTAAATAAGAGGAAGAACAATTCAGGCAGAGAAAACAAAGGTAGTAAAATCCAAAAAGAATATGAAAAATACAGAATTTGTTTAATAAAGCTTCTTGATTAGAGCTTAGGATGTATAGGGGTGGGGAGGGGTGGGAAAAGGTGGGGAAAGACTGGAGGTCCAAATTGGGATGATTTCGTGCGCTAAATCGTCTAAATTTACTGAAAGGCTACTGGGAGCCATAAGATGACTTTAGAGCGGCATCACAATCAGATTTATAGTTCAGAAAGATCATTGCCATGGCTGGACTAAGGATGGACTAGAATCAGACCAGAATAAAGGAGACTAGTTGGGAGGCTATTGCAGGGAAATTAAGAGAACAGTTAGTGTTGGTGACATGCCCACCACGGAATTCTCTTCCCACCGGACCACCTCCCTTTAGCCAACAAGTGTGGGAAAGAAGAAAGGAACAATGACTTCGTAGGTATTGTTCCTGCCATCCCTACTACTGGTTTAAAATAAGACAGATTTCTAGCAATATCCTGTACCTGCCCATCCTTTCCACACATTATGCAGCTTAAAAAGAAGTACCATAAAGGGTGATTAAATGCCCGCCTCTATGTAGGCTAATTCTGTTTTTGTGGGCTAGCCTGGAAACCCATTAAAACACTACATACCATTTTATATAACTATGAAGTAAAATTAAATGAAGCAGCCCCTAAAAATTAAAAATAAAATCAAACGAACAGAAATGTATATGAAGTTCGTGGCATAGCTTCAAAGAAAGAAACTATGCCAGGTAACTTGAAATCTCAGGATTTTGACTGTGAACTCATAGTGGTATGCACCTTAAAGACAAAAAACAAAACACCAAAAAACGTTAAACTGCAATCATATTATTGGTGTAATGTGGTATTGATATTCTGAGACTTTGGGTTAGGTATTATGGGATTACAGTAATGAATAATTATGTGACATTCTATCATTCCTGGTATTAAGAACTGGCATTCTTAGTATTTGAGCTACACATAGATCAAAGAAATTACTCTGTAGCCTTGAATTTAACTGGGGAGTATCAGTATAAATTCATGATGTATTTTATCTTAAAAACACACACCACCACCACCACCACCACCAAAGCATATTACATATTAGGAAAAAAAAAAAAAAAATCAAACCCGTGCTGTCAATTCCATCTCACAGCGACCCTTTAGGACAGAGAAGAACTGCCCCATAAGGTTTCCAAGGCTGTACATTTCTATGGAAGCAAACTGCCATGTGTTTCTCCCTCAGAGTGGCTGGTAGATTCAGACTGTGGACCTTTCGTTTGCAGCTGAGCGCTTAACCACTGCGCCTAGAAAAAGTGACTAAGCAATCTCAATGAGCATCACTAGTGCTCTGATTCCAGTTTCCAAATACTGTTTCCCAGTAAAAGGAACTAGGCCTCCTCGAAACTCTTACTTCCAGATCAAGCAGGAAATGTACAAGGCAAGCAGGTGGGGTTATAGATGACATAAGATTGGCTGCCAGCTGGTAACTGCTGAAGCTAGATGATGGGTACTGGATGTTCTTTATACTATTCTACTTTCGTGTATTTTTCAGATTTTTCCATTCTAAAAAGTTTCCTTAAAAAGCAGTAAATTAAAACAAAAAAGCTGTAAATTAATCACAAGTAATTCAAAGAAAAGACAAGGTATACAGTACTTACTTTTACTGAAGGGTGGTATTGAAATATGCGAAATAAGTATCAGTATGTTGGAAAAAAACTATTATCTACTAGTATGTGGCAAAATGCTTTTGATTTGGATGTAAGGGAGATCTGGTTACTCTTGTCAGTCCACTGATATTTAGGTTTAATGTGACTGATTAGGTGTCTTCCCCTTCTGAGTCATTTTTAAGTCTCTGACCCCAATGAAGAGGATGATTTGCCTGGAAGGACAGGGATCACTGCCTGGTCAAGGGCATGGGAGTACCTCTACACATTTGCTTTCCAATTTCCAAACTGGCTTAGCTTTTGGAATGCAATCTGTTAATTCACATTCACCTGCATTTTTAAAAGTTTACTCCTTTAGCATGTGAGTGCAAGCTAAGCAGTCTGATGTAGACATTAATAATATTTGATTTTTAAAAAAAACTACAAAAGGGACTGTCTATCCCTTATATAGGCAAAGTAGCCAAATCATGTGTTTTGAGAGATGTCCAGCGATCTCTGGCTTGAAATGTCATCTCCAGTGATTCAGTGTTGGTCTCGATCTAGAGTGCCATCCAAATAACTAGTCTTGAAAAATATTCAGAGCAAGTGATATTTAAAAACATTGATTATGAGGCTGCAGTAGCCCTTAATATCTCCTTGAATTTAATCCTTGTGATGTGATAGCTTTATTTCTTCTGTAATGTATTCTTGCTATTGTGGCCTTTTAGGAACAGGGTGAATAGATGTTCTCTCTCCTTCTTCCTCTCCCTTTCAACTTCCTTCTCTTATTCACTCTCTTACATTCACTCTTTCATTTTTAAAAATGAAAGCCTGGTACATAAGAACTACTTCAGACAGCAATAGCTTCAAAGATTCAGGATACAGATGGTAGAGTAGGTTTAATGTTCATTATATATTCTCATTTTTACAAAAATGGTGGTGGAATTTTGAATGTGGTTCCTTCTCTTGGTATACTTTAGATACTCCATCATTTCTGTCATCATTGTTACCATGAACGTCACCTTCTTCATTATCATTCTTTTACTTATTGTTTTACCAGGGGTAGTTGATGACATGGAGAAAGACAATTAGAAGTCATTACCATCCATTATCAGGCATCTTTTCTGATAAAAATAACCTCAAAATAAGGATTTATGTTCCATTTCATCTGCTCTTATTGAGCTCCTGCTGTGTTCCTACCCATGTGGACTGCTTTGAGGAAACAACAAAAAAAGACAAGGTTCCCTACTTCAGAGGGCTCACAGGTAAGAGAAAAGACACATATATCTATCAGAGACATGTTTGTTAGGTGCCATTCTAATTCTAATCATATCTAAAAATATGTACACACACACACAGAGTCAATCTTCATTATTCCCAGATTCCGTATTTGCAAATTTATTTGTAAACCCAAAATCAACACTCCTGGAGCTTTCATGGTCATTCACAGACAGGTACATGCACAGACCATGAAAAACCTGAGTTGCTTGGTGCACAAGACTGGTTTCATATGCATTAAATGAGTGTTCATGGGGACTTTATAGACCATAACTACCATGAATAATGAGAACTGACTATATACATAAAAAACTCATTGAGAGCCTAAACTATATGGCTTTAGACTGCGTGGGTTCAAATCCTGACTCTGCCACTTACTAGCAACGTGATGTTGAACAAGTTACTTAACCTCTCTTGCCTCAGTTTCTCACCTGTTAAATGAGGGTACTGTGTTGTTATGTGCTGTGGAGTTGATCCCAACTCAGCAACCCTGTATGACAGAAAAGAACTGCCCCACAGAGTTTCCCAGGCTGTAGTATTTCTGGGAGCAGATTACAAGGTCTTTTCTCCCATGGAGCCACTGCTGGATTAGAACTGCTGACTTTTCAGTTAGTAGCCAAGAGCTTACCCATTGCACCACCAGGGCCCCTTTAAATGATGGTAAGAACAGTAATTCCTCATGGAGTTGTTATGAGATGTCTTAAACAAGGTAACTGTAAAACATTTACACTTATCCAAATATCAATTTCTGTGCTGACCACTGTTTCTTGTATCCTACACCTTCCTCCTGGGTGGCGGTTTTTTTTCCTTTCCCTGAACTATATCCTCTAATAAGTCAATTATCTTAGTTTTTGTATGTCTGAAAATGGTTTTATTTTGTCCCCTAATCCCATGGTTTAGGTATGTATGAAATTCCAGGTTGGTACTATTTTGCCTCAGCACTCTGAAGATAATACTGCATCATCTTCTGGTCTTTACTACTGCTGACAGGAAGTTTGCTGTCAGTGTAACGGTTGTTCCTTTGTGTCTTTTCTCACTGGTAGAATACCTGCATCTAAGGAGATTCTGGATGAATGTATATGTTTATTGCCAGAGTTATCCACACAGGACTTCTAATTGCACGGATTATGGGAGAGGATCATGGCGTAAGTGTCTTCCTTCCTTACGATAAGGAGCATGACAGGAACGGAAGGCCACTGTAACTAAAAAGACTTTCTACAAGATAAATCATGTGTAAATATTACCTTGCCTCCAGGGAAGACCTAAGCGTGCCCTTACAAGAATCCAAAAGTCTACATTAAGATCTGAAAGGAACCACTAAGGCCCCTCAATAGTCTAGATTTTTGACCTTCCTGGCCAATGTCTACCCTTTTTTCCAGATTACTAAAAACATATGCCAAAGTAAAACAAAACAGATCTCTCTTTGTAAACGAAGTAGCTAAAAATTTGGCCTCTTTATTGGTCTCTGGTCATGTATTTGGCTTGAAAAAATCCAACAAGACAAACAGTTCCAATTAACTAACTAAATGAACTAAATTTTTTCCCCAGCTCTCTAAATGCTCACAGAGAGCCAACTTCCCTGGTAGATCGCACACGGCACAGTCTTGCGGGCCAGGCCCACAGAAAATATTTGCATAAGCGGAACAAGAAAGATGTCATTTGTTTTTCATTACATAAACATCACCTAAGGCTACCTAATCAACACACTCATTGAAAAAAAAAAAATTTCACCTGTGACCAAAAGCGCACTCATGTTTGTTGGGTGCCACTCTAATTCTAATTGTATGCAAAAAGCTACAAATAACTCAAAACTAGAAAGTGGCCTGAGTGCCAAGGCTGCCTGTGGCTCTTGCTACAAAACAGTTACCAGTCTGATGTATCTAAAAAGAATGACAGCAATTAAGGGATTCTGCTTGATTTCAGGAGAACTTCCCAGAAGGAGGTGGAGGGCCAAGAAATCCACCTGCCTGCTTGGTGGCAGCTCGTGAAGGGGCAAGGCCCAGAATCTTCTGGATGTTCTGTGGAGAAAATATAATAAGAATTGGGTCTTAACATGAGATACAGAGAAGTGTTTTAAATAGATCTCAAACAAAGTGAATGCATACAAATTAAAAGTACCATTATTAACTTGAAATAGAATGATTACTACTGTGTTATTTTTATAAAGGCCTACAATGTTATGAAGATCATAAATCAGTGAAAGCCTTCTTATCTGATGGGAACTGGGTCTACTAACTAAAGGAGCTGATTTCTTAAAATGGAGAATCATTAATAATAAGAGGTAGTCTTTTAACATGAAGCATATAAAATACATTCATTAGTTATTTCTTGTAGCAGGGACTTTTTTCTTTTTTTTTGAGTATGGGTCTTCTAGAGGGAATTAGTCACTACTGTACTGTCTACAACTTTCTGTTTCAATTGCTTTAAAGTGGCGAGAGAACTTAAGAGACTTGCAAAGCAACCGGAGTCTAGAATCTTTGTAGATTTTTATCATCCTCCCATCTTTTTCAGTTGTGTCACCCATATCTAATTCAACAGGATTTCTTTTTAGAAACTCACCTTTATTAAGTCTTTTCAAGCTTACTTAGTTCTCATAAAAACAAGTATTTTTACACTCAGATTTCATTAGTCAATATGCATTTAATAAAATTTATACAGATATAATAATGAGTAAAACCAGCATAAAAAGGATAAGGATAAACACAGTTGACTCTTGAAAGGCAGTGACTCCACTGGTGGGAGTAGACAGGGACAGGTGTACTAAAGAGCAATCCTGAGCAGAAAGTGTGACATGGGGAGCAATTGGTAGGCTTCAAACAGAGAAGGAGAGGGTTTATGAATATGAAAAGATTAAGCACAGAATGGTGGTTAAGAGTTTATATAGCATTTTAGAGATCATCTGATTCTTCCTGCTCAATTCCTTAGTTTATATTTGAGGAAACTAAAATTTGGAACAGGAAGATGGCTTGTCCAAAATTAGAGAGTTAAATTAAGAATAGAGTTAGGATTAAAACCCATGCGTTTTGATTCTTAATCTAATGGTCTCTTACACAGTACTTCCTATGGAAACTCTGGTCTTCAGAACAAACTCCACCCTGTGGTAGGCAGGTTAGCATGTATGCATTCATGAGTACCTGTTGTACATAAGGCACTGTAAGACTACACATACCCAGGCTTCTCTGGAAGTGTACACCCCCATCCCCAATCCTCATCTTAAGAATGATGACTGCTACAGATATGAATGTGTATATTTCTGAGATAACAGTGTCAGAATATAATGGAACATTTAAATATGAAAAATATAACTTTTAAGAATTACGTTTACCATAAAATATTATATATACATATTTATTGCACAATACTATAGCTCATGCTTTACTTTGAAAAGAAAAATCTGAAACAGGTTAAGAAGAAGAATCACCAAACAGGCAACACCTGCCCAAAAGCAAAGATGAGACGGCAGGAAGAGACAGGAAACCTGGACAAATGGAAATGGGGGAACCTGGGGTGGAAGGAAGGGGGAGAGTGCTAACACATTATGGGTGACTGCAGCCAATGTCACAAAACAACTCGTGTATAAATTTTTGAATGAGAAACTAATTTGCGCTATAAACTTTCACCTAAAACACAATAAAATAAAATTTAAAAAAAAGAGAAGAATCAATAATTAGATCAGGCTTCCTCTCCTTAATAAAGATAAAGATCTGAGTATCTATTATTTATTAAAAAAACAGCTCTTTCATGCCCACCTCTAAAAAATCCACTGCACAAAGCAATAAGAAGACCAAATGATATGATCTCACTAGTTTCCAATTTATTGTATTTAATCAATAAGTACTTACTGAGCATCTACAATGTATCTAGCACTATGTGAGGCATTATGAAAAGTTACTTTAAAGATAAAATTTGAAATGATATTACAGAATTAGCTGATGATAAAAACATTTTTCCACTTAGCAAATACAGTACTACAGTCTAGACAAAACATACAAGGGCTCCTTGCTCTGTTATTCTGCAGAGACAGGGGTCAATTAAACGAGTCCTTATCCTTTTAGAGATAAAATACCAGTATAAAAGCCTCTGCTAGCCTTTGAACTACAAGTTTATTGTGATTTAAAGAAGACAACTGAAAGGAAAATGATAAACTGAAAATATTTTGAAGAAACAATGTAGACTGTTGATAGTTTCACTCACTAATTCGAAACACATCAATGATCATTGCGTGCAAGTCACTGCTCTACCTGAGAATAATCCAAACACCAACAACAACAAAAAGCGTTAAAACTGAGACACTCTGGCAGCCATGGCCAGAGTTCGTGGAAATCCAGGCAGCTCCAGACTTTGTTTTCCTGCGGCTCTTGCCACAGCCCCTTTGGGGACATTAATTAAATGTATTGATGTTACATCATGCCAGTATTAAAATACAATACTCTGCGTTTACCTGAACGCAATCCTATCCTTTAGCGAAACTCTTAGCAATTTGTTTAAATTCCTGTCGTCTTACAAATGAACCCCAGGTCCTCTGTTTTTCTTCCATACGATTTCCTGTTAGTGAAACCTTTTCGTCTTAATACATAGTAGGAACTGTCAATATTTACCAAAAAGCACAGATGAGAAGGCAGGAAAGCTAGATAAATGGAAACTGAACAAACAGAATGGAAATATGGGAATGCTGACATACTGCAAAAATTGTAACAAATATCATGGAACAGTCTGTATAAAAATTGTTAAATGGGAACTTAATTTGCTGTGCAAACTTTCACCTAAAACACAATAAAATATTCTTTAAAAGATACATAGTAGGAACTAATGGATGGCATGAGATTACGAAAAGACTAAAGGCCGCTATTCTCTCCACAGAAGTAATAACATCCTATATTTCTATGCACTTTTAAGTTCTCAAATAGTTCTAAGGACTAGATAATAGTTCCCAATTATCCCCACTTTAGAGATGTGAAAGGTGAGGCAGAGGTTACAAGTCAGGACTCAACTCAAAGTACAGTTTTTCTCTGTTAAACCATCCTCTGCAAGATCTTTATCTGTAAAGATTGCTAAAAGCTTTATCTTAGAGGTAAAAAATCTTATAGCAGTGCCTATAAAATACATCACAATTATGAAAATTATGTGAGCATACCATATAGAAAAATATATATGCACTATTAAGTGAATAAATGTGCCCTCTCTCTCTGTATATATATAACATACATACGTATGCATGCGAATAAAGTATAAATGCTATAACAGCGAAAAATGCATATAAAGACTCTACGAATACATAGCAAAATAACAGCTGTAATACTCTTTTCTTATTCCCTGCCTCCCTCAACTTTTTGAAATGTTGCTGAACAGGATACTCTAAAGTAAAGAAAACTATTTCTGTGGATGCTATCTCAAAGTGAAGGCCATAGCATGAAGCTGAAAGAAGAAAATAATAGTTAACAGTCACTGAGTACTTTATGCTAGACTTTGTTCTAAGCACTTTACACATATGTTCTCATTTAAATCCTCACAACAATTCAGTGAACCAGGCACTATCATTATGTCCAGATAAAGAAAAGGAGATATCAACTGTCATATAATTCAATAAATATTCACTGATTATGTTAATGGGAGAGGAACAACTCAGAAAAGGAAAGTGAGACTGGTTGCATAACCGGAAAAATGTAATCAGTGTCACTGAGCTATATATGGAGAAACTGCTGAATTGGTACATGTTTTGCTCTGCATATTCTCAACAACAACAAAATAAATAAAATTCAAATACTACTAACTGAGCACCCCACAGTGCAGCAGGTACTTGTGTATATATTATCTCCTTTATATCGTTCAACAACCTCTTCCGTTAAATTTTACCTGACTGCTCTCCTGCAGACTCTCAATTCTCTTCCTCGAGGTCAATTTTTCAGGCCCTCTTAATTAGCAAGATTCAGTTCAGAAAGATACATTTTGTTAGCAGATATAGGAGTTTTAATATGTTAGAGATGACATGGAAGAAAACTTATCAATACAAATACAAAACGTTGTAAGATGTGGTAAGATTTTGGAAAAACATAAAAGAACTATTTTGAACTTCTGTCTAGCCTGTGTAATAGGTTAGGGTAACATCTGAAGAGTGTATGTCAGAAGGGAAAAACAAAGGAAAACATTTTCCCGTAATCACGCCTTCTGTCGGCAAGAAACCCAGAGAAATACCACTACAGGATTTGCCTTCCTTCCTCTTTTGTAAAGGGTAAGAACCGGTGATCAAGAAAAGGAAGTTGTTGGTTGCTAACTGGATATTTTGGGAAGACCCAGGTCACTGGCAATAAACACATTTTGCTAAATTTTATTTCTTAGTCATTTAGCTAAAATAACTTAGCTATGGCAACCCTCAATTTGCTGTTAGTTTCTCTGGCACCTGGCAACCAGCCTTCACTTCCAATTAATCACAATTTCTCATCCGATTCCCATAACATCATCTTTACTATACCCACAAAGGTGTGCGTAAAATCTAATCACCTCAAATAGATTCTTTAAACATTCCCAGGGCTGTCATTATATCTGAATAAACTGTCTAGGAGAATGACTTAAGAGACTAAATATTCACTGGGAAAAAATGATAATGCAATACTGGTATACTTGAAATGTCACTGGGTTAGCAGTCAGAAGATTTAGGTTCCAGTACTGGCAAACTAGGCAAGCAACAATAGGCTGTCTTTTCACTTTACCAAATCTCAGTTTCCTTACCCTTAAAAGTGGGGGGCTAACTAGATCAATAGTGTTCCTACCTTTTAAGCCACAGAATTCTCTCTTTAAACAAAATCTTCTGGGAAAACCCAGTACAGAAAGAAGACAAAATAGGGTCAGGGACCTGCAGCCCCCAGCTAGGCCCTTCTTTTGCCCTCTCCTTCCCTACCAAGGAACCACAGTTCCCTGTGGTTCTAACATTCTAGGATGTGTCTCTGTTGTTACAAATCATATTGCAGACTTCAACACATATCTTGCAAAGTGAGAAGCAAAAGTATGAAAGGAGGATGGG